CTCGTATGTCTCTCCAATCGCGCGACATTTGATGATTTATTCAATTTGTGCTATGAAGCGCAAACTTTTTGTTTACAACCTTTCGCTGTTGTTGCTGTTGTTGCTGTTGCCGTTGGTCTTCTATGGCAGCGGATGTGCGCTGTGAACCTTTCGCAACGAGTCGTGCCACTCATTGCCCTCTGGCCTCTGGCTTTTGTCCTGTGTGCTTTTTTTTTGCTTTAAATGATTTAATGCCACAAACCGCATGCCCCACGACTTACACCCCATGCGCCGTTCGCCATGCGCCATGCTCCACTCTCTGACGTTGGCACTTTTGCTGCATATCTTTGAGCATGTCATCAAGTGAATATTTGTGTCTGCTAACCATCGATTCAGCCAGATTATCTATGGTAAAATTCATTCTTCAGTACGCGCTATTTACTGTTTTATTGCCAATTCATTGCAAAGTCTGTTGTTGTTAGACACCGCCGAGTCTCTGGACCGTTTGATGATAATATGAAAATAATATTTTCGGAAAATACCTAGGGCAGTCATGCCAATGGGAGATGTGCTATATTAAAAAAAATTTAAAATTGTATTTTTTGTTATATGTATATAAATGTAATCATAGCTAAAATATAGTTTAATATTTATTTTATTTGAAAGCAATTCTTTAAAGTATTAAATAATAATTAGGTATATAAATAAATTATTAAATATTATAATTTGAAATATATGTCTATATTTATTTGTTAGTTTTATTGTTAATTAATATACAATATAGTCTGCAAAGTCAAGAAGCTCTTTCACTTTTCACTTTCATTTGTCACTCACTTAAATGGATGGCCCTATGGCTTGCAACCAAGTGCCCAATGGGCTACAGTTATGCTCTAGTTTATTGACTGGCGAATTTCAGTCAACTGAAGTGAAATTGAAATCGGCAAAACTCTGTCTCTGCTGCACAATGTGAGAGTTCTGTAATTAAATATTTGTTTGCTATTATAAAACGAAAAACAAATTATAATTACTGTTGTTGACTTTTCCTGTTGATGCTGTTCGCCAACTTTGCTGCAGATAAAAAGACACAAATTATTGCACTTTTCAGCTTCACTTGGCCGAGACTGTTCCTCATAGCACTTTTACGACTGTTTGGCCAAGTTTCTCAACGATATTACAAGCTAATTGCCGTTTGTTTATTTGCTTTCATTTTCCCCCCTCATTTTGTTTTTACTTGACAAATGTGTAGAAGAACGAAGTTCTTAAGTATGGCATACCATCAAGCGGTCAGAGGTGTTGTGTTGTATTAAATACTCGGGATTTTATACTGTAAGGAAAAGGCAAGAAAATTTTTGTTATTAAAGTGGAATATAAGAAGGACAAATGGTAAATTTTTAAAATTACCTAAATTGTATATTAAAAGCCCAAAATGATTTGTTGTAATGTGGGCTGAGAATGACTCTAATCTACAGCTAGAGCTCAGCTACAATATTATTCTCCATTGATCTATAGCAATCTATATTGAACTTGCAAATTCTCTGTGCAAACTAGTATAAAAATGTTGATTACGATAGGCTTCAATTATATGCCAGTCTTATTGAGTGTTTAGTTTAGAGATCTGCCCATTGGTAACTTTATAAATAGCTAAAATACTATAATATAATTCATAATTATAGAGCTGGAATTAATAAGTTTTGCCCGTCGAGCACTATTGGCAGCCATAACTAATAGAACTAGCAATTATATAATGCGTTTATTGGCGTATATCAATAAAAAAATAATTATATACAATATTTAAATAGATATAATATTTTTATAAAATTTAATACAACAACATATGCATAAATTACGCTACTTTTGAGTCCCCAAGGAGTGTCAAGAAGTTGGTTAAGGTTGATTGCAATGTTCCCTAAGCTCAAATTCCTTGAAAAGCCTTCTTAAGCACTTTTGTTTGTGATGCTTAAAAACATTTGGCTAAGAAATCAACTTTTCTTTGTTAAGCAATTAGACTGAAAAAACAGGGACTAAAGAAAAATCATATTTTATACCCGCGATTTTTAATATAATTTGAAAAGCGTATCCTTGCCTGTCCTGTGCATGGCATTTAAGCTCTTTTAATTTCAGTTGCCTTTCCTTTCAGTTGTTTACTCAATTTCCATCAATTTTCATCAGCTCTGTCAGCTGCTTACCTACTTAGTTACTTGGCTACTTAAAGCAGCAGAAAATTTTTAGAGCTCTGTGCAACATTTGGACAAATTGCAGCGACAAAGTGCGGGCCAATATGTGCTGTTGGCCATATAAATTTCATTTTCGCCAGTTAAATTAATTACTGTCAACACATGCGAGGCGGCACTAATAACAGCAGCAGCAGCAGCAGCGGCAGCGGCTGTCAGAGGCGAGAAACTAAAGCAGGCCAAGCTAAAGTCCAACAAAGTTGTGGCAGAAGAAGACGAAGGCGAAGACATAATGGGTCCAGGGCGTGGCAGAGGGCGGTGTTTTGGACGAGACAGCGTCGGAGCGTTGAGCGTGTAGCGAGCATAAACACAAAGTCATAAAGTTTTTACATAAAAGCATTTAATTTTATTGCATTTTTGGGCAGCCGCCAGTGGTGCAGGTCGTCCGACGGCAGCCAGACGGCACAGAACTGGGGCGGGCGGCTGGCTATTGGGTGTACATGGTCTACTGGCCGGATGGATGGGGGCCAACTTAATTTGGTGCAAATCAAGCAAAACTGCAACAGCAGCCGTCAAGTTCGCAACTAGCTCGTTGCAGTCCGGTAGCTCAGCACAATGCAATGCGAACTTTTGTTAATGCGCGCCGTGCTCTCTGCTCTGAAAGCTGACTCACTGACTCCCCGACCGAGTGACTAACGGACTGACAGACGGACAGACGGACAGTCAGCCAGACTGACGTTCTCGCATAGCTCATGTGCGCCGTCTGCTGACGTCAGCACAAAAGCATTTATATCTGTGTGTGTGTGAGTATGTGTGTGTGTGTGTGTGTGTGTGTGTATGGCAGTCGCAACATGCATCCTAGCCAAAGCGAAAAGAAATCTCTTTAGCATTTTGTTTAGACATCTTTTGAAATACGTCGACGGAATACTTGAAATGGAAACCCAGCGAGTGAAAAATGTTCAGCGCAAAGTTTGTTTTTGCTTCTATTTCTCTTCTTTTCCCCACCATTTGTTCTTGTTTTTCCATTGTGATTTTCTTTTTTTTTTTTTGGCAAACTAAGCGCACATGTAAATTCGAATCATGCGAAATGCGAAAATTTGCAATGCGTATACGTAATATGCACTCGCATCAACAAGTGAAACAGTTTCTGAGGAAAACATCTCGGACCAAAAACATTTGAATATTTAATGTTTAATGGTTCTTTTAAATGTGTCAGGGGGAAGCATTAAATACGAAACATAACTGAACAGGCATTACTTAAATATATATGTATGTCTACACCTATATGTAAAAAAATATATTTGAATATTCTACATATTTATTTTCTATCAAACATTTTTTGGCCTATCTACATTATATGTAAATATTTATATATTTGTTTTTTTTTTTTATTTTATATTATTTTATATAATATGTTAAGCACTATTTTAAAAAATATTTTTCTGATCCAAAATTTAATATACATATAACAGTTTAAAATTATGAATTTTTTCTAACAGAGAAAAATAATATTTATTTAAAATAACAAGGAAATAAAAATATAAAAATATTGAAAATAAATAAATATATGTATTTATTTTGTCTGCGTCATTTTTACATTTCGGCTTAGCACAGAGAAACTTTAAAGAAAATGTGACAAAACAGCTCTGAAAATGTCTTTTTAGCCTTTTACCAAAATGTTCAGCTTAGAAGGCAAAACACTTCAGCACTTGCCTTAACTGCTTTTCGATGCACTTTTGTTACCCAGAAGTGGCGAACACTAAAACGAGTTGGCTTTAAAAGCCTTTTCAGAAGCTGAAAGCCGTTGAGCTCCCACTTTATTCTTGATGTTCAGGAACAAAAAGAACTGGGAGCTGTAGTGCGGATGACCCATTAATTCGATCTGTTAAGTGCTCGAAAAATCTCGTGTGTGAGCCGGTACGTGAGAGCTGGCATTGTCTTCGTGAGGCAGGATTCGTTGATGCTCTGAAAACTTCCGGAGAGCAAATACTAGTTGTGTACTGCGAATTGATTACTTCAAGTTTCCCTAGTGATAGTGAGTTGCGACGTGACCAGATTTTGGTATTAGAAGATATAAAATTTTGTATATATGTATGTATGTATAGGTTGATTGTTTTTTTAAGTAATGCATTACAGTGAGTCATAAAGTATGTTCATACCAGTAATATTTCAAGTTCATGCAATATTTATATGCATACACTGTAACATAGGCAAGTATTGAAACACGCTCAACTTGTGCTTAGCTTTTCTATTGACATAGAGTTCATAGTTTTATTTATATATTTATTTTTTATATAT